TCCCTCAGAAATTCAAAGGCTTAGTATTAATTACTTCTCAACAGCTGGCTGTATTTATAGTACTAGTTGGCATAAGTTGCTGAGTAAGGAAATTGCAGATTTAGAAGTGTCCCTAAATAATTTACCCTCCCATCCCAGGGTAAAAGAAAAGAAAAGAAAGAAAAATCTAGTTCATAGCTTCCATGCTGAAGCCAGGACTGATTCCTATTACAACAGAATTTTATTTTGTTCTCACAGGCATTTTTTTTATTTTTTCAAATAAATTAGTTATCAGTATTTCAAAACCAAGAAATTCTTAGGGTAAACTGAAAGGCAGTGCCAGCCAGACTTCCTGAACTTCTTGTAAAGAATGACATCGATTCCTGGTCTTCAGAGCAGTGCTATCCTTGGAATGTTCTGCAGTGATGGAAGTGTCATTACTTTGTAGTCCACTGTGACAGCCACTAGCCACATGTGGCTACTGAACATTAGAAATGTGGCTAGTGTGACTAAGAAATTGAATTTTAAATTGTATTTACTTTTAATTAACTTACATTTTTATAGACATTTGTAGTTAGAGGCCATCGTACTGGACACTGGACTTCCAGATGAACCAGACAGATTGCAGGAGTAGTAATTCAAAGTACTATACATCTGGATATGTAGGTTTTTGTCTATATTTTCTTCTAGTAGTTTTATAGTTTCTGGTCTTAAGTCTAAGTCTTTAGTCCATTTTGAGTTGACTTTAATGTATACTGTGAAATAAGGTTCAAATTTTATTCTTCTGCATGTGGATGTCCAGAATAATATACTTATGAATGTGACATTCAGCAACACCATTTATTAAATATAAAATAATTCTAAACTCTAGATCAGTTTAGAGCAGATTTTTACAATTATATGCAATCAAAATTTAAATCTCATTCAAGTTTTTTCTGGTCTAGAAGAGAAGATGAAAGGAAGAAAGCATATCTCCATCATTCTACTGTTTGCTAAGCAGACAGCACAAAAGGAAATGTAATCTGATACTCAAATTTAAGCCTCACAATGCACTTGGCTAAAAATGGCTTTTGTCAAATTTTAAAGTAGATGCATATTCTGTGATAAAAAGCTGACACTCCATACCTCATTCTTTGTCAAAACTCGAACAGTTTTGGCTGTTAGGTTAGAAGTCAGTAGAAATGTTTTTTGGTTTTTGTTTTTTGTTTTTTCTCATTAAGTGTCCTTCGGTGAATAGAATCATATTTGGGGATAAATTTATTAATGGATATGAATACGACTGTACTCTTTCCTCCCAAACCTGGTTCTCCAACAGAGGAGTTTGCCACCTCAGTGGAGGGCACCATTGCCCATCTAGCTGTTAAAGTTAGACATTTGGAAGCATTTTGGCATCTCCTCCATCATCCCCCACCAGGTTCTTTGATTTTACCTACTAGACAGGTATCTTTCCAGTTCATTATGACTACATCTGTATTGCACAACCCACCTGAAGTCTCTTTCCTACTCCTGAAGCATCCGTCTAACTGCTCCTCCTGCATCCACTGTTTCTTACACTCACTTGCAAACCTTACAGTGCAGTTATGGTGAACTTCTAACAAAACAAATCTAAGTATATTCTTTCCTTGCTTAAAATGGGTACATTTCAAGTGAAACTCCAAATCCTAACTGGCCTGCCAGATCCTATATAACCTAGCTTCTGCCTGCCTCTCTAGGTTTGAGAAGAGCTGTCTTCTTTAGGATTAGGCTTACCAGCACTTGGCAGTACATCTAAAATAACAGTGGCTTTAACAAAGCAGAAGTTTATTTTGCTCTTGTAAGTAGGCAATCCATGGACCGGTGTGGCAGCTTCACAGTCCTCCAGGATCTAGGCAGCTTTGATCTTTGAAGTTTTACCACCCTCACCACAGACCTTCCAACTCATGGTCTAAGATGGCTGCTTCAGCTGCGCCATCACATCTGCATTCCAGCCAGGAAGAAAGTAGAAAAGGAAATAAATGGCCAGTGCCTTCCTTTCAAGAACATTTTCCAAAGTTGCCTCCTGTACTCCCACTGCATCCTGTTGTTCAGAACTTCGTCACCTAGCCATACCCAGCTGTGAAGAAGATTGTTCTCGGCAACCTGTGCCCAGCTAAAATCCAGGGCTTTATTGTTGAGAGAAAGGCGAGATACATTTGGGAGACTGTTAGGTAGAAAGGGCCCATTCCCCATGCCCGGGACCCACATCCAGCGGACCGCCTCCGAAGCCCATCCCCTCTTGCCACATGGCTCTTCCTTCTTCTTTGTTTAACCTCCACCAATCACTCCATAACACCTCACCTGTACTCCCCACCTTAGCCCGCCAAAGCTAAGCCAATCCCTGCACTCCACAATACTCCCCCTTCGCCCATGCCCAACCGCCACCAATCACTTCACAACACCTTGCCTAAACAGGCCGCCGCCCCTATAAAAACCCTCTCCGGCAGCTGCTGGGTGCAGCTCTTCCCTCTCCCGCTCGAGTTGCCCGCAAACCCCAATAAACCTGGACTCGGCTTAACAACTCCTCGCTCTCATTTGCTTTGGGAAGGGTCTCTGCGGGTCGCACAGAGACCACTTAGGAGTCTCCATCACAAGAGCTAATGAGTATGAAATATCTGACATAGAAAATTCAACAGACAGCACATAAGCATAAGAAATACAGAGGCAGATACTAGAGAAAATGGCTAAAACTGTTGAAAATGGTTGCCTCTGGGAGCCAGGAACAGAGTGAATCAGAGGACTGGTGTTTTGCATTAAGTCTTTCAGTACCATATAATTTTTTTCCATGAATATTTTGATAAACATTGCATTTTGAAGGCATTTCTTAAGGCACTGACTGAAGCCAGATCCATGAATGTGTATTAGGACTGGGTGAATTTTCAAAGCCCTTGAAGTGTGTTTTTATTTCCCACCTTGCCATCCAGCTTGGAGTCTTTGGTATTTATTCAGAATTGGTTGTATATGCATGGTTATTGTCAAGGGTTGAGGATCAGGTTTAAGACCTTTGGCCACAAGCAGTTCCCCCTTTTTCCCTATTATTAGGACACATGGGGTATAAAAAATACTAAAATACTAAATGTCTGTGACTTAATGCATTTTGTCTTATTTTCCTGACCTGGGCTGATTTATAATAAGCATGTACAGGAAACTTTTTCTAATTGGCAGCAGTCCTTTTCCTGCATGGATGTTCTGTGACAGGGAATGTAGACACAGGAAACCATCATTTGCAGAAGATTGTTATCAAAATCCACAGACCCAGAGGCCCAGATGAGAAGTAGGGGAGAACTGGAACATGAAGTTGTGGAATCCCAGAAACTAGAAAGATAATTCTCTGCCGATGATAAAGTTTTTATCCAGATGTACTCTTGTGAGACTTAAGAAATGATTACCTCTTTTTCATGAGAAATACACCAAACCTTACAATTGCAAGCCTTAATAGGTTTTGTTTGTTAAATAGTTAAGCCAAGAGGAATTGTTGCTAATGAGAGACAAAGGTTTGAAAAGGAAAACAATCACTGGGCTTGTATTTAATCACTTTTTATTTTCTCAGATCTCCATCATGTCATTATCTGGCTTTGGTGCTTACATAACTTAATTAGGAGAGTTCGGCAGCAATGGGAATAGGAGGGCAAAATGAAAGGGTAACAGTTTAAATGGATCACCTGCAGATGTGTGATATGGATGGAGATGAAGCCTATTAAGGACCTGATTTTAGAAGAAGCTCTTGACATTGATCATTTGTGAAAAGGAGATTTTTTTTTTTTCTTACCTACATGCGAGGTTTTGTACACTTGTCTACAAACCTTAGGCGTTGGTGCATCTGATCATCAGCTTGTAGAATTACTAACACCAAGCCACTTTGAAAGAGCAGTCAAGGTTATTAACTTTGGCAGGAAATGAAAATTTGGCCTTAATATACATGTGAAATTGAATTGTCTGTAGCACAAAGCTTTGGAGATTACCCATGCAAAATGAGAAAACTATCTAAATTAAAAATTTTCCTCAGTACAGTGGAAAGTAATTTTGTAGACAGCATTTTTACTGCATTGAAATCCGTGAAAAGATTGGCTCTATTAATTTAAATTTAAACAGAGGCTCTGTGTCTTCTAAAATGGCAAATGAGATGGAAAATGTATTTTAAGGGGAAAAGTGGGTTTCTGGAAATGCTGCAGGCAGGCAGGCTTCTTACTCCACATCTTTTTAGTCTGCACTGAGACCAGTTGGCTTCAGAGGGAAGGCTCTTTCCACTGTGACAAGCATTTGAAATAAGGGCATGCAGACAGTGCCTCTATTACATGTTGCGGACTTCAAGAGTAGGATAAGAAACAGATTGAGTAAAGCCCAAGGCAGAAGTCATTGGTGGCTTTTACATTACAGTTACCAAAGAAGCTGGGTCCTCAACAGAGAAAAAAAATGGAGGGATTGAATATATTTTCTCAACTATAAAATAACTTCCTCATAATCCCTACCTGGAAGAATACTGGGTAGGGAATTTGGTTGCACTAACTACCTTTTCGCTAAAAAAACAAAAATCTTTTACGTAAAAAGAAATTGAAGTTTTCATTCCCTATTATTTGAATGTCTTTAGTTCACAACAATACATTTCTTATTTATTAATTAAATAATTATTGGTTAAATAGGTAACATTTATTTGAAACCCTAGTTTAATTGACACATTATTTACCCATCAAAAAGAGTACATTAACATAATAGAGTACAACAAAGATTAATAGGCTGTGTGTCTCTTTATTGGCCAGAGCCTTAGAGACCTTATTATTTAAGAGTTGTCATGATGAGGAAACTGAGGACAAGTAAGTGATTGGCTTATGCTCGTTCTTAGAGTTGCCTAGTAATAGAGCTAAGCCTAGAATTAAAGTCACCCAAACTTCCAGATCATTAGTATATTTGCTATAGGTTATCAAAAATCAACACTGCTGAGTAGACAACATGCCAAAATAATAACTGCCCTTTCCTCATCTTTACATTGTTTTCTTTTTGTTTTTCAGGTATTGCCGTGCTTTACTTACATCTTTATGATGTATTTGGAGATTCTGCCTACCTACAGATGGCACATAGCTATGTAAAGCAAAGTCTGAACTGCTTAACCAAGCGTTCCATCACCTTCCTTTGCGGGGATGCAGGCCCCCTGGCAGTGGCCGCTGTGCTGTATCACAAGATGAACAATGAGAAGCAGGCAGAAGATTGCATCACACGGTAATCGTGTTTCTATATGAGGATTATTATCTAGATATCATTGTGCATTAATTCTGCATGTGTTAATTAACAAAAGAACATTCTAGTGAGTTTACTTTTCTCTTAGCACATATATCTTACTGTTGTCATTTGATCAATTCTCATTATTCCTGTGTTATAGTTAAGGAACAATGATTATAATACCTATTTTATTGCAAGATACAAGACATTGTCATGTTCCAGATTAAACATCAGTTCAATAATGTAAACGAGAGCCAAAAGCCTAAACATGATTACTGATCCAAGGTGCTGTCCCAGATCAGTAATTCAAGGAAATGCAGTTCACTTCCTACAGGTTGGCTGGAAGAGTCCTTCTAAGGGACCGCAAACTGATTCAAAACTGTCTTTCTTAGCAGTAATGACATGCACATCCCGGTTTTCATTTTTGGTATAAATTATGGTGGTCCTCTAGAACTGGTGAATTGTGAAGAGTTATTAAATGTTTGTACTAATTGAGTATAATTTTTGCCTTATCAGAGTTTATTAAGCACTCTTTCGGAATTCTAAGAACACTGGCTGCCATGCAACTCTGCACTGCACATGCTAACACTCCAGCAGTATTTTAACCAGTGACCATCCCTGAGTTCATCATGGTGTTTGATTCCCACTATTCTTTTTTTATAAATTACTGTTAGAATTTATAAATTTTTTATAAATTACTGCCATCACCAATTTACTTCGTCGAGGATCCCTTGGCTAATCTTATGTGTGATGTATATTTCAACAACTCTATATTTCAACAATGGGCTTTTTGGATTTTTTAAGATATGATTATGCTATATTCAAAGAAGGAATCATTTATACCCCTATCCTTTAGGGGTGTGTGTGTGTGTGTGTGCACGTGCGCATGCATGCATGCGCATATTCTCCCTTCCCTCTCAATTTTTTCCCATACTGTGATATTTTCTTATTGTAACTAATTTTTTCCACTGGAAATTGTAACAAGAGGAAAGGTATAGGTGGGCCAAGGAGATTTTGCTCCACCCATGATGATTTGGGAGTCATTATTAACAAAATGATTGAACATATATTTCAAAACACCTTTTTTTAATACATGCTTGTGCTACAGTTCATAGGGGTTAGAAATTACATAATATAACTTAAAAAACACATTACTTAGTGCATCTAGAGAAAAAAAACTGAACATTCCACTCCAGAGCTGAGAAGCTTTTAATACAAAACCTGTCACCAAGCTCAACCAAAATGAAAGATGAAACAAAACAGTTATTTTCCCCAAAGTGTAATTAAAGTGTGTTCCTTCCATAGTAGCTTACTTGCATAAGACTTGCCAATACAAAACTGTTCTATACTCACCTCAATTTAAAACATAGAAACTACCTTTTAATTTTTTTTTACATAGCTAATGTTTAAAGCCATCAGCCAACAACTGCCTTAGAGTTCCACAAGACAGTCTTTTTCATGAATCACTGTTAAGTACCATCAAATTAAATTGTAGTGCTCCCAATATTCTATATGTAATGCCAGCCTTTCCAAAATAAGTGCAGCCAAATTTTAATCGTTTGCTATGTGAGAAATGTGTTCAATGAGAAGAGTATTCATAGATACAAACAGATAGGGATTTGTATCAAAGCAGTAATTAAACAAAATTAAATATGTGTTTTTACTGGCTGCCAAGAGTCTTCTGTAGCTTGTCTACCTGGGGACAACACAGTGACTCTAGGGAGCAGCACTTGCCAATCTTAACTCAGGTAGACAACTCTTTTCTTCATGAAATCTTGAGGGCCTATTCTAACACACAATCTTTGGGAAATGGTATAATATATCAGTATTGGCTTATTAAAATTAAAATGCTCATAAGAGTATGCTAAAATTTTTGTTGTTGGTGGTGGTATATTGGTACTAAAGTTGTTTTTGTTATTTATCTTTTTAAATTTTATGACATTTAAACAGTATTTATAGTCAGTAGGCTTGTTAAGGCTAAATAGATACTATGTGATTATAATGGGAAAATATACTATTTGTGGCTATAGCTTTGAGTTTTCAGATTTTTGTTTTATACGAAACAGAAAAAATGATTTGGAATGATTTGTAAGTTAGGTAGTTTGCTTTATCTTTTATGTCTTCCTTTTAAGGGAAAAATCTAGAAATTTGACTTAATTTCAAGAAATTCAAAATTATTTAGTATCAGTTATTTAGTAAACCTCCTTTAACTTTTACTAAACTTTTTTTTCATTTTACAGACCTTTTGCGATTTCACACTCACATTCTCTGTGTACTGCCTTTGTTATGCTTCATTGCCAACATCATGTTCTAGCTAGCTCCTTTTTCTACATTTTCGTAACGTAATGTTCTTTCACAGTCCCTTTGAGATCATCAAAAGTCTAATCCCTAAAGAAAAAGAAATCCAAGGAAATCAGTGTTTTTCTGTAGTACATATTCTTAACCTTGGGCGTCTGAGAATCGTAGGGCTTCTGGAAGTATATAAAACCCCAAATTATATTCAGCAAGGAAAAAGCATTTCTGCTTTTCTTAAAAGGATCTATAACTCCCCAAAGGGGGGTGTGTATGCATTCATGTTCAAATTGTCCTGCAAATGGCTCAGGGGGTGAAGGAGAGGACAGTACATCGCACTGGTTCATTTTATACCCGGATACATAATTGTATCTGTTTCCATCCCACCCACTTCTACACACTGATGCCACAACACGAATAGAGTGTGTTGCCTGTTTGTTCCCAATTAGATGGCTAACCTGACGTAGATAGTGCTTTGGGACCAGTACTTAGAATGATGAAGCACTCTGGCTTTCTGGTCCAGAAATGTATAACCTCTCTTCTTGTAGTGTGATGAGTCAGGAATGGACCTCTTTTTTTAAAGTTACAAACATTTTGATAACATAAGGCCAAGTACTCTCCCTAGTAACACCGTAAGGAGTGGAACAGAACTACCTTGTTTGTATGTCTTTATTCTTCCTTCAGTGACATTTCAGGGACTTGCTTATCTCTTCTAAAGATGGGTTGCTATTAATATCAACATATCAAAGCAAAGCTGCAACAATGTGCTTGTGGGTTTGAGAGTTTCTGAAAACACATAAAATAACCATTATGATTTATCCATGGTATCATTTCTTTATTTTAACTTGAGAATGTAGCATGTAAAACTTGCAGGTAAGTCCTAGTAATCATCAATCCCAACTAATGAATTTTAGTGATTTGAATTCAAATCCAGAAAAAAAAAGGAAAACTTCTTTTATTACCTTAAACTGTATTGTTTTAATAAGATGCTGTGAGCAGTACTTTATTTTAAATAAGTATTTGAAAGGTATTTGCTACCTACTTTGAATGTTCCAAATGCAAATGTGTTTGGCTGCAAAATAAATGGAATGCTAATTATATATCGCCACCTAGTGGTAGTGCCGGTCATAACACTGACAAATAAAGGAATGGAGTTAATGCAAGTGGTTCAAATGCTTTATTTCAGTGGAATATCATTGGTGTCAATGCAGTAATTCTGTGTAATACTTACATAGAGCAGTGTGTGTTTAAAAAAATTACAGTAATTTTTTGCATAGTTCTTTCAGTCTTTGCAAAAGTAAATCAAAAGTACTTTATATTGAAATTCTATACAATTTGATACATTTATGTAAAAATTTGATAATAGGTTCATATCAAAACTGAGACATTCATTGTTTACTATAACAGTTGAGTTTGTCTCAAACAAATTTTGTTTCCTTATGGGCCCAGCGATGATACTGAGCTCCCAGTTCTGGCATGAGAAAAAAATATTCTTAATAAATGTTTTTATTAAAAATTTAAAATTTTTATTTAAAAATTTAAAATTTCTTTAAACTTAAAGGGGTGTGTGTGTGTGTACGCGCACACGTGTGCACAGATAGATATAGTATTGAAGTAGAAAACAAAATGGCCCATAATTCTACTACTCATATACCCTTGTTGTTTTAAAAAGGTCAAAGCAGACAAGAAAATATATTAGAAGAAAAAGGAAAGAAACCCCTGACCAAGTTTCTTGGTTGTCTTTTTCTCGGAATATCTATTTCTGAGATAACCACTGTTTCACTATGAATTATTGGCTGCCTGTATTTGTAGAAGAAAAAATGTGGATGAGTCAACGTTTGCATATTTAACTAACCTGAGCTGCCTCAATTTGGTGAGGTATCATATGAAAAAGTTTTAACTTCTTCACTAACTGCAACTAGCCATGCTTTAACACCCCCACCACCACCTTTTCTGCTGGGGAGTAAGTAAATTCCCTTAAAGACTCTTTCATAACTTTCTCTGTCTTTTATAACTCTTAGCCACTTTCACTCACTAAAATCATCTCATTCTGCTCATTAAAACCCATCCTCTTCATTTTATGTTTTCTCCCCCCCTCACCACAAGCATGTGGAAATGGTAGAGAGGGAGATGGGAGAGGAAGATTGTTTTCTCTTTCACATCTACTCTCTCTGCTATGCGAGGATGTTTTCACTGCATCTATTGGTGTATAGCCGTGTGGTAACAATTGTTAGGTTTTTGTATGCTTGGAATTTTGGGTTTTGTTTTTTTTTTTTTTGGTAAATATTGGTGGTCTCCAGAGATTGGCAGTAAAGGCCAATAATATAATCCCCCTCAACTATAATAGTATAATCCCCCTCAACTATACCCCTACCTACTGAGTATGTTCAAGTGAAAGCACACGTAGGTGCCGAGTTCTGCCAAATGTGCAAACATTTATTAGGAAGAAGATACACATATGTCTATATAATCTCTTACTCTGTTTTTATTCTTTTTTTTTTTAAATTATACTTTAAGTTCTGGGGTACATGTACAGAACGGGCAGGTTTGTTACATAGGTATACATGTGTTATGGTGGTTTGCTGCATCCATCCCCCTGTCATCTACATTAGCTATTTCTCCTAATGGTAGCCCTCCCCTAGACCACCCACCATTTGATAAGCCCTGGTATGTGATGTTCCTCTCCCTGTGTCTATGTTTTCTCACTGTTCAACACCCACTTATGAGTGAGAACATGCAGTGTTTGGTTTTCTGTTCTTGTGTCAGTTTGCTGAGAATGATGGTTTCCAGCTTCATCCATGTCCCTGCAAAGGACATGAACTCATCCTTTTTATGGCTGTATAGTATTCCATGGTGTATATGTGCCACATTTTCTTTATCCAGTCTATCATTGATGGGCATTTGGGTTGGTTCCAAGTCTTTGCTATTGTGAACAGTGCCACAATAAACATAAGTTTGCATGTGTCTTTATAATAAAATGATTTACAATCCTTTGGGTATATACCCACTAATGGGATTGCTGGGTCAAATGGAATTTCTAGTTCTAGATCCTTGAGGAATCGCCACATTGTCTTCCACAATGGTTGAACGAATTTACACTCCCACCAACAGTGTAAAAGCATTCCTATTTCTCCATATCTTCTCCAGCATCTGTTGTCTCCTGATTTTTTTAATGATTGCATTTCTAACTGGCGTGAGATGATATCTCAGTGTGGTTTGGATTTGCATTTCTCTAATGACCAGTGATTATGAGCTTTTTTCATATGTTAGTTGGCTGCATAGATGTCTTCTTTTGAAAAGCATCTGTTCATATCAGGCGTCCCCAAACTATGCATGCGGCCCCCTGAGGCCATTTATCCGGCCCCCCACCGCACTTCAGGAAGGGGCACCTCTTTCATTGGTGGTCAGTGAGAGGAGCACAGGATGTGGCGGCCCTCCAACGGTCTGAGGGACAGTGAACTGGCCCCCTGTGCAAAAAGTTTGGGGACACCTGGTTCATATCCTTTGCCCACTTTTTGATGGTTTTTTTTTTTTTCTTGTAAATTAACAATGGGGGGCCGGGCGCGGTGGCTCAAGCCTGTAATCCCAGCACTTTGGGAGGCCAAGGCGGGTGGATCACGAGGTTGAGAGATCGAGACCACCCTGGTCAACATGGTGAAACGCCGTCTCTACTAAAAATACAAAAAATTAGCTGGGCATGGTGGTGCGTGCCTGTAATCCCAGCTACTCAGGAGGCTGAGGCAGGAGAATTGCCTGAACCCAGGAGGCGGAGGTTGCCGTGAGCCGAGATTGCGCCATTGCACTCCAGCCTGGGTAACAAGAGCGAGACTCCGTCTCAAAAAAAAAAAAAAAAAAAAAAAAAAAAATGGGGAAATGATTTCCTGTTTAATAAATGGTGTTGAGAAAACTGGCTAGCCATATGCAGAAAGCTGAAACTGGATCACTTCCTTACACCTTATACAAAAATTAACTCCAAATGGATTAAAGATTTAAGCATAAGACCTAACACTGTAAAAACCCTAGAAGAAAACCTAGGCAATACCATTCAGGACATAGGCATAGGCAAGGACTTCATGGCTAAAACACCAAAAGCAGTGGCAACAAAAGCCAAAATAGACAGGTGGAATCTAATCACTTAAGAGCTTCTGCACAGCAAAAGAAACTATCATTAAACTGGCAACCAATAGAATGGGAAAAAATTTTTGCAATCTATCCATCTGACAAAGGGCTTATATCCAGAATCTACAAAGAACTTAAACAAATTTACAAGAAAAAAACAACTCCTGCCCTGTTTTTGTAGCTCAGAGAAAGTCATATTGCCCTCAAGCTTTTCTTAGACTTGTTTATTCATCAAAGTAGTGGGAAAGCCTGTACCATCTTCCAAACCTCGAGCCCATCTTTACCACTCATTCTTCCAATGAAAAATTTTCTATCATTCCTTAATAATAACAAATTCTCTGGTGTAGATTTTGATCAAGTTCCTATATGAAAAAGAGCCACTTCACTGCTAAGTACCTATGAATTTTGACTCCTGCTTAGAGTACTTCATCACTTTGGGGCAGAGGTTTAGAAGGACCTGATGTTTGTTACTTCATATGCTAATGAACCATCCTTAGTGTGTAGACTAAAGTTAGATGACAGACATGCACGGGCACGGCACACTGTTTATGCTTAACTACTTTAAAAGTAAATTTCCATATAGATAATTTAAGATAATTTCTAAATTGGAAGGAATTTATTTCACAGATAAAACATTTTAAGAACAGAGATTAAGTAGTGTGTTTAGTCTCTTAAGCTACCTGATAACATTTGTTAGGGCTAATGTCCTCTCATCACTATTCTTTTCCAGAGTGTCACTGGCTCTCATGCTAATATCATTTTGTTAGGTTTCACCAAAAATTAAAATGTTTTAACTTAAATAGGATCACATCAAATTTATAGGCTAATTTAGGGATGATTGAGATGCACTTCAAAATTGCATATGACAAAAAATCTAAAATAGGAAGGACATTTTTCTTCCCTATTTTATTTGCTGCCCACCCCACTCCCCTCAAAAAGGGAAAAAGGTTCAGAGGTCCAACCAACAAATAAGGTTACTTACCTAAACTGACCTCCTTCTGTGATCTTCCCCACTACTTTCTGGTTCCTGGGGCTTCCCTTTTTGGTTTCTGATGAGAAGGCTGGGACTTTAGTGACCCTGTTCCATCATGTCTATGACTGTGCCTGCTTCTAGGGCCAGGTGATACGGCGGACAGAGAAGTAAAGCAATGGGGGTGTACAGCTCCCTCCTGGGACCACAGTTACTTCAATCTGCCAGGGAGTTTCCCCTCCTTCAGAGTTTGGCTCGCAAGGCTCCCCTTGCCTTCATACCTGCTGCCAGCGTGAGATTGCTTGGAGCTTGGGGCACAAGAGAACTGAGAAAAGGAAAGTAAAGAAAAATGGAAGGTTAGCCCCGTCTCTTTGATATTAGGAGTTCTTTTTCTTGAGACAGCACTGCAGGGTTTCTTCTGGGTCTGCCTCTATCAGCCTGCTTGTGCCTACTTTTGGATTTTTGGGGCTGTACTGAGTTTAGACCAGGGGAATACCAGAGAGAAAAAAATGGTAAACTCACAACTGCTTTGGTGGTACTTCAGATTCTTGTCCTCTTCCCCATTTTGCATGTTACTTTTGCTTTCCAGAGACCTCAGATAGCTGCTCTATCTTGTAAAGGTTTTAGAGCCACATTTTCAGGGAGACACAAGGTGCATAGTGTGCTTCCTCAATCATACCTGGAACTAGAACTGAAAGTAACTTTTTCTGAGACACTGAACTGAGTCTATCAGTAGGGACTTAATGAACTATATAATACATCCTTTCAATGGGGGTCTGTGTAGGTATTACAAAGAATGTGACTACTCTAGATACTGTTGTGGAATCACTGTCAAAATGTATTATTAAAATAGTAAGCTGTAGAATATATTTATAAATATGTATATTTATGCTTATGTGTACCTAAAATAATTCCATGAATACACACACACAAAATGGTAACCATGGTTATTTCTGAGGAGAACTAGAAGGCTGCGAGTCTGGGGAGATGGGGACCTGACTGACACCACTGTGCTGTTAATATTTACATGTATTATTGACTGTGGTAGATGAGACTTTCTTCAGGCAGGCCTGGTGACACATTAAGAAATAAACCAAGGAAGGAGATGATGAGCCATTTGAGTATTGACTTAGTCCTTTCTCCGGGCTAAATGCCTTAAGAGCAAGCAGTTCTTGGCTTCTCTGACCCCAGCTGCTAAAATACTCACCTTAGGGCCTGCCACCATGAGGAACTAGGGAGATTTTGGATAGCCTCAGCCATAAACTTGTATCCTTCATTTTATGAATGTATTTGTTAGTTCCATTGTGAACTGAAGAAATTTAATGAAGGGCTACTCTGTGAGCCATGACTCTCTAAATTGTGTTCTATAAATAGATACTATCTGTATATGTATAGATACATATTTTGTGTGCATATGTGTAATTTTTCAATGTAACATTTTTAAATATACCCCAATACCTGATTCCTCTCAAATTATCTTGGGCATGTATTTTTATTTTTAGGCTAATTCACCTAAATAAGATTGATCCTCATGCTCCAAATGAAATGCTTTATGGGCGAATAGGCTACATCTATGCTCTTCTTTTTGTCAATAAGAACTTTGGAATGGAAAAGATTCCTCAAAGCCATATTCAGCAGGTACCATGGTTTTGTGTTTTTAGGAGTCTTTTTAGGATCCCACTTACTTGCTCTCTGCCTAAACTACTGTTTGTGTCTCTCCAGTTAGCACATTCCAAATAAAGGAAGATGTATCTTGACCTCTAAAGGTTGGGCACAGTCCAAGAACTAATAGCTTCCTACGGAGTGCTGTTGGAAACATTTCTGACTCAAAGTTAGAAGGCCAGCCTGCTCCATTTGAGAATTTAGAGGCCCTCTCCAAAGAGGATTAGAGCCAGATTTCACCTCTCAGATGGAGGATCTCTTTTGGTGGTGCTTAGAGGAGTTTATGCTTTTCTTTGATGGGTGAATCTTGTAAGCTGTAATGCAAAGAGCTCAAGATCCTCTGTGCCCTCCCCCTTCTAGGTTGAGTATAGTCCCACACACTTCTCTGATGGAGAATTAAACTGTCCCTTTCCCTGGCTGAAAGGTGGTGACTAGTTTATCGTGTTCCCCAATACCTCGTAGCAAAAAAAGTCTTTACCTCCACCAGGAAGGTTTTTCTTCAGTTAACTTGTTCTTTTGTTTGGTTTTCTCCCTGTAGATTTGTGAAACAATTTTAACCTCTGGAGAAAACCTAGCTAGAAAGAGAAACTTCACGGCAAAGTCTCCACTGATGTATGAATGGTACCAGGAATATTATGTGGGGGCTGCTCATGGCCTGGCTGGAATTTATTACTACCTGATGCAGGTAAGGAGTGATTATGGTGAAACTTTAAAATGTCCTTCCTGAGCCATGTATTATCATGGGTGAGAAGATAGATGTTCTAGTTCTAGTTTTTCATTACTTTCCTTGTAATTACTTGACCTAGACAAACAAAAGCGATATTTACCAAGGTGCCTTTTAAAGCGTATAAACATTAAGAGCCCTGCATTTTGAGATGACGTTTGATTTGCAGGTGGCCATACTTGCCCACTTAGTGCCACTTGACCTGTAATTCTGTATGAGGTGCCTCTGCTCTGCTCTTTGAGCCAGTGCTTTGAATTAAAAACATTACTCCACATTAAAAGGTACAACTAATTCCCCAAATTCCAGGAATAAGAACAAAATCAATAGAAAACAAATGAGCGCTTGTTGCCTAATGCTCACTTAGCAAAACTGAGGAGACTTTTACTTACCTGAAAAATAGCTGAATATGCTCTGCCCAACAGTTCTTAGGATCTAATACTATTGGGGCACATCAGTGAAAGTCAGATAGACTACAAACATGTAGAATGTACAGCAGCAAACATAACTTGGGAGAGATCGGAAGAGGATCACAAGAGCATCATTTTGGGAGACTTATGAAGCACTCCTTAAGGAGAAATTGGCACTTGTGAATAAGAATTCATGGCAAAGAAAATTGATTTCTAATGGCAGGTACCCTTGTCACCTTCCCAAGGCACACTGTGGCATAAAGAAAAGTGTTTCATTAACGTGTTCAGCAGGAGTGCTTAGATACATATACTACAAGCTCTTTGAGTAACTGGCTCTTAGAATACAAGATCAGTGTTGGATCTGTCCTCTACCTATAACTAAACAAGGACAACAGAACTGAAAAACTCAAGGTTATTATTACTTTTGAATGCAGAGTCACACATTGACTGTTAGTGGCAAACAGAGACTCACTGGCATATTTATTCTAACTTTTCAATTAGAGGTTATGTAATTAGGATGTTGACATTTAGACTTAAATTTCTTTATTTTTCTGGTTCATTTCTTCCTTTCCATTCCAAGTAGTAAATGTAGATTCCTAAAAGTTTTCAGAAAAGAAGACTCTTCTGAAGTTTCAAGGTTAGTTAGAATCAAATATATTAGAGGCCCTCTCTGAGGAGGACTGGACAGCCTCATCAAACTTTCATTGAAACAGATAATCAGGAGACACCGTTAGTGACTAGACAGCCTCATCGAACTTTCATTGAAACAAATAATCAGGAAACATACTCTGCCTCCTTCTGTTAGCTTAGTAGTAAGATACCTGAAAACCCAAGTATTGATTTTTCCATTTGCAGCTTATTATCTATTTGAAATGATTTAATTTTTAATCCTAAAAGTCTATTCTAGTAGGTAACCCTTCAACAACATAAAATAAAACAATATTATTTTTAGGCCATGTTGGATAATACCTGCAAGTCTGAGGAGAATCCACTCATTCTACTGTAACACTTTAAACTGAGCTTAAACACTTTTAACTGAGCTTATTCTTTGTGTAAAATGAAATATGTCTTCTAAGTAACTCAGTGCACTTTCGGAATCTCGTGAAAATGGTATTGTCAATATTACGTTGACCCCACCATGACCGCCTCATGTCTGTGTTTCACACCACTGCCCAACCCCTCTCTCCACATGTCCCATACCTTGCCCGGCAAAACAGCACTTTGAATCTGTTGTTTAAAGACATTAGCAGTCATTGAGAACATGATCAAAAGGAGAAACTAAAATGTGTATCAAAAATGGTGGTTTATATGCTCTATGTCGGTATGTCCTGTAAATCTGTACATTGTTAAATGAAAACAATGTGGCATTTACATCAGTCCTAAATCCTCTGCAAGAAGAGCTGATCTAGAGGCATGCTATAGTTTGGAATCTAGATTCCAGGTGTCTTAACTTGTTAATGTCATTTTCTATTGAAAATACCACTCTCTCTTCTCTAGATGTAATAATGAAAGACGTGCTTGTCTAGTACATCTCTTTGTGGCTTTTAAAGTTTGCTTTATATATTGAAACCATGGGAAACTTCTCTTACACTCATTCTCAGGCATTGACCTAGGAAAATTACTTATATGTATGTAGGTAACAATTAATATTGAAAAACAGTATATACAAAATGCCAGACACAGTGGCTCACACCTGTAATCCCAGCACTTTGGGAGGCTGAGGTGGGCAGATCACCTTAGGTCAGGAGTTCAAAACCAGCCTGGCCAACATGGTGAAACCCTGTCTCTACTAAAAATATAAAAATTAGGCATGGTGGCAGGCGCCTGTAATCCCAGCTACTCAGGAGGCTGGAACAGGAGAATCGCTTGAACCCGGGAAGCGGAGGTTACAGAGAGCCAAGATCACACCTTTGCACTCCAACCTGGGCAACAAGAGAAAAACTCTGTCTCCAGGAAAAAAAAAAAAAAAAGAAAATACAATATATACAAAAGGCCCTAAGAGTTAACTGATAGCCCAATTTTACTTTGTCCCATTATTTAAAAATTTTTAATGAAATTACAAAAAAATTAAAATAAAGGCATCCAATAGGTAGAAAAATTGGATGAAATCCTAAACCTCTTAATAACCTTCCATTTCCTCTTGGCCATGCTTTTTTTTCTGGTTTAAATATACTGAGACTTAGGAAGGTTTGTTTGCTTCAGCAGAACTAATAATTTTCTTTCTCATTCTTAGCCCAGCCTTCAAGTGAACCAAGGGAAGTTACATAGTTTGGTCAAGCCCAGTGTGGACTACGTCTGCCAGCTAAAATTCCCTTCTGGCAACTACCCTCCATGTATAGGTGATAATCGAGATCTGCTTGTCCATTGGTGCCATGGCGCCCCTGGAGTAATCTACATGCTCATCCAGGCCTATAAGGTACTGTGTGCATCTTTGAAATAAAATAACCCAAAATTTATCATTTAAAATTAGTTTTATCCTAATCCATAAAGGAACAATAAATAAATCTCTTGTGGAACCTAAGATCACTTTGCTAAATGGATTATAATTCATTCTCACAATCTATCTGTACCATAGTAGACATTGTTTCATATTCTACTTTTAACAACACTTAGGTTGCAATGAGATATTGTATATGATCCAGCACATTATCTAGCAGTTCCACTCCTAGGTATACACCCAAAAGAAACAAAACCAAAAATTCAAACACATACTGTACACACCAGCATTCATAGCGGCATTATTTATAATTGCCACAGGGTAAAAATAATCCAAGTATTCATCAACAGATGAATTGATAAAGAAAATGTTATACATGCGATGGAACATACCACAATGCAATAGAATATTATTCTGCCATTAAAAGAATGACTTTCTGATGCATACCGCAACATGGATGAACGTTGAAAACATTATGCTAAGTGAAATAAACAGATACCAAAAGGACAAATATTGTATGATTCCATTGTAGTGCATAAATAACACTAATAAAAAGCATGCCCTATCAGACCTGCAATCAAAGAAGGTTTTTAATTGAGAAAAAGTAAGATATCTATGACCACTGGTACCGAATCAGCAAATTACAACTCTGCAGGCTATTGATGGGCACTGGCATCTCATAAATAAGTAAACTTTTAGTGTATCAAATTCTACATTTCAGAAAATTAGATATATTAATAATGGAAAAACTTTTAAACTGCCTTATCCTACTTTCAAGAACACTTAGGTTGCAATGAGATATTAAAAATATCTACTCAGAATATTTCCGAAGTCTTTGATGAAGATAAAGGAGGCAGTAAAAGATTGTAAAGGTCTATCTCTGTTTTTCTAACAAAGTCTAGTGTTTTTATCATCAATTTGCACATTAATAAAGAACAGTTTTATTCTCCAGTGTGTAAAGAAACTTCCTAATAGTGAAGGGGGCATCACAGTTACCAAAGAAGATAGCATGTGTTCTTTGGTAAGTCACTAATGATAAGAGCAAGTTGCAAGTTAAGTAATGTTACTTCCTCAGTAACACCCAAATAAACACACATGCACAGAAAACTTAGACTGTACATACAAGGTCATGCACAATTTTTTTTTTTTAAAAAAAAGCAAAACCTGTCCATTTTAGTAATTGTCACTAACAATATAACACACCCTCTGTCACTAAATCCTTTACCCTTTCTTCTCAAGCCATATCCTTGTCTCCTCCGTACCTCTCAGGAAGGAATATTAATGGAGCTTTCTTTTATATCTTGTACAATAAAATGCACGTCCTTTGCCTCTGCAGGTGTTCAGAGAGGAAAAGTATCTCTGTGACGCCTATCAGTGTGCTGATGTGATCTGGCAATATGGGTTGCTGAAGAAGGGATATGGGCTATGCCACGGTTCTGCAGGGAATGCCTATGCCTTCTTGACACTCTACAACCTCACGCAGGATATGAAGTACCTGTACAGGGCCTGTAAGGTAGGAGTCAGAGCTACCAAATAGAAAGCAGCTCTTTGACCGGGCATAATGGCTCACGTTTGTAATCCTAGTACTTTGGGAGGCTGAGGTGGGCGGATCACCTGAGGTCAGGAGTTCAAGAGCAGCGTGGCTAACATGGTGAAACCCTGTCTCTACTAAAAATACAAAAAATTAGCCAGATGTGGTGGCAGACGCCTATAATTCCAGCTACTTGGGAGGCTGAGGCATGAGAATCACTTGAACCTGGGAAGCGGAGGTTGCAGTGAGCTGAGATCACACCATTGTACTGTAGCCTGGGTGACAAGAGTAAAACTCCATCTCAAAAAAAAAAAAAAAAAAAAAAAAAAAAAAAAGCAGCTTTTCCATGAGGTTGTAGAAAAAGTTCATTTGATTTAATTCATTTATCCCTAAAACCATAGGTCTTAGATAACAAATACAGTTATTTAAGGAAAACCTTCAAAAGCCTTTCAATTAAAGTAGCATTTCTCCAAAGGGACATGATTCTATTCAAGAGCATTTATGGGAGAAAAAAAATTTAAGAGATAGGGTGATTTTGTGCCTTTTTTCTTGAATAACCTTGGAGATACGTGACTCAGACAGCTCATTAAATTCCTCCCGTGCTGTGTACTCTCTTTCAGACCATCTTTTTCTCTGCATTAATCTCCTTTCTCTGATGTGAAGGTAGTTTTTGATTTTTCAGAGTAATTTGTAGAGACAGCCTCTTAACTTTTGGGGGGTGTTCTGGAAGAAATCACTGTACTAATTTAACTTGGTCTCATTTTCAGTTTGCTGAATGGTGCTTAGAGTATGGAGAACATGGATGCAGAACACCAGACACCCCTTTCTCTCTCTTTGAAGGTATTTTGTATACTTTATTCATTTGCCTTATAATATCAGCATACTTCTCTGCTTGGTAATGTATTTTAAGTTTTATCAAAAAATTAATTTTATAATTATTTTTAAACTACCTTTTTATCTTCCAATATGTTAAATCAATATTAAAAATCAATTAGCACATGTACTACCACAGCCCCAGTACTGGTACTCGTCAGGCCACTCCCTGTTATGGAGCTAGGCACATGTTGGGCATTTTACAGATGCTGTCATAAATCATTCAGCAAAAACATACAGGCACTACTACCTCCGTGTCACAGCTGAGGAGACTGAGGCTCAGGCACTTACGTATGGTAAATGGCAGGGCTATGACTTGAACTTGTCTGGCTCCATTCTCTTTCCAGTCTTCCACCTGGATATAAAGGCTGAGCACATCACTAGTGATCTCTTCTAATGTTGAACTGCAATATATGTAAATACAGACAGATTCCCAATTCATTTAAATTGTTGCTGTCCAGATTGTAATGTTGTTAATGTTAAAAAATGTAGCCATCCTTTGTTTTTGCAGAGTTGTAACTGCTCTGGGGGGTGGGCGGGGGTGTCAGTGAGTTGGGGAAGAAGCCATAGGATGCCAAAGGAGGCAGGCCAAGAGGACACCCACACCCTCCAGTGTGGCCTCTGAACCAGACCTTAGGGACGAGGCTGTCACTGGTGGGCACCCTTTGTTGCTGTTTGTATGTTTGAATAGACTGAAATGCTGTGACTTTTTCTTTTTCTTTTCTTTTCTTTTTTTTTTTTTTGTCAATAAAGATATGGGAAAAAAAGAGCCATCTATGAAATAGAGTCATTTGGTATAGTAACTTCTGCTTCTTTCTCTTTCTTCAGGAATGGCTGGAACCATATATTTCCTGGCTGACCTGCTAGTCCCTACAAAAGCCAGGTTCCCTGCATTTGAACTCTGAAAGGAAAGCATGCCCCCTGCAATCACTGCATGACCCTTGCTGTATGTTCAAATCCAAGCTAAGTGCTTTCATTGCTTTCCAAGGAAACAAAGAGTCAAACTGTGTATTTGATTTTCTTAGTTAACTTTTTTCAGAGTTTGTCTTTGATTCGGTTCCTTTTAATTATCATTTACTTAAAATTATCCAAGAAAGTTTTTAAGGGAGAGTGAGTGATATGTACAGTGTTTTGAGGTTGTATACATATGTTCCAGAACTTGGAGGAAATCTTAAGTTTATGAATATAACCATTTGTTACTGTTCTAAAAATGTTTAAAAGAAATTCAATATAGATAAAGATAAATGTGTGACTATTATTGCACTTCACTTCTCTTTAATATTTCCTTCCAGCTGGAGGGCAGTTTTATGACTTTGCTCTAGGTGGTTCATTTTGAAAGGGGACAAAAATATAACTAGGTGCTTCCAGGAGAAAAATTCCAAGAGTTGCAAACTGGAACTGGGACCTAAATATTATTTTTTAAATTACTGATGCCTGTTTGGTTTACAGCTAAACATACTTTCAAATTTGCCTGTTTTGTTGGCTTCAGAAGCCAAAATTTTAAACCAAAAACTTATAAAAATGTTGATCATTGTGAAAATTCTGAGTTGAAGGTTAGTTCAAGATAAGCTCACAATAGCAGTTTATGTTTTCTCTGAAATAATCTGGTTTTTTTGGAACTATTTTAAATATGTTTGTCTTTCAGTATTCAAGTAAGATCAGGAAGCTAATTTTCTATGTGTGAATATGCTCTGACCTAGGATTTCAGTCCACTCTGACTTACTTTCTAAATTTTAACTTGGGTTTTTTACAGTGACTATGCATTAGTGCTGACTCTTTGGTATAAGCCATAAAATATTTTCCTATCAATTTATCTGAACTTTGGTCTTTTCACTAAATAGTACAGTATTCTACTTCTGTTTAAAAAGGGGGATGGGAAGGGGAATACTGTGTAACCAATAACTTGAACGAAAACACTAAACTTAGCTTTTAATAGAAATGCTTTTTGTTTAGGAGGGATTATCCAGAGTTCATGCTCAGAATAAATGGATCTTTGCATATCCTAGGCTTAAGAATTCATCAGTTTCTGAGACCACAGAATCAGGTTTTCTATGGTAGATGAAGACTCCTTGGTGCTTCAAATTCTGTACAACTGTTTTGACTCGTCAGCTTCTACTCCTCCTTTCATTGCTGCCTTTGCCTGGCTTGTTTTGTCTCTTTGCAACTGATTTTGCAAAAAATTTGCAGTTTTAAAACAACAGGGTCTAAGTATTTTAAATGTGCCTATTTCACAGCTCTCTTGGTCACAAAAAACATGCTATTTTTTTTGGAACTGCAAACCAAATCCCCACTGAGTGTATGCCGGTTCCTGCAGGTAACAGTCTATTATTTCCTATTTAGCACCAAAAGAGCTAATATTATTGGAAATTGTCTGACCCTTTAAAGGCCACTGGCAGTAGGATACAAAAAGCAGCCCACTGGTCAGTTCCTAGGATTAGCTTCCTCCTTCTGTGACTTGTGTAAATCAGGACTACCTTGTGCCTCTCAGATTTCTGAAGTGCTACTGCACAGTAAGCCGTGTGCGTGCTTTGCCTTTCTAGGGAAAGTTTTGAATCAACAACGTCAGCACTTACAGTAAGAAGTAAAAGGAGTACACAGCAAAGCTATTTACCTTTGGCTGGGTTGTCCAACTTGAAAGAATAAAACTCATTTGGTTTAGTTAAATATCTTACTATACTGTGTCTATGCTTTTAGCTACATTACTAAGCAAGGGAAAAACAACACTTTTGCTGAGCCAAAGGAGACTTGATCACAGTTCTCAAGCAGCGTGATAGCAGTGCTTAACCCCAGGAAGATTTCAACACAGGGAGAAGAACATTTCAAATAAGATTCTTTTAACCCATTTATGTCTGCTGTTCCATTATTGGAACTCTAAGCTTGTGGGAGTTATTTACATCCTGCTGCTCAAAGTCATTGCCAAGGTCTGATTTTTCACAAAAATTTGCAACCTCCATCATAAATGGGTTAATATTTGAACTGCAGTTTAGATACTGTCATCTCAGCAAATTTGTCAACACAAACACAATTCAGGTTTTTTGTTTTTCTTTTTTTAGCTTTTGAAAACTTGTTAAACTGGCACAATTTTATCTCTGTGCTGTTGTTTGTTGTATTTATGCTTAAGAGCAAAAAAGTTTTAGTGGGATTCTAAACTCAGGCAAAGCCTACAAAACTGAGACAGTCCCTTAACAACCTGGTAGTAACTAAATAAACTTTTATACTAGGCTTCTTAGTTTTAAAAGGAAGTGGCATCATTATTTCAATTCTAGTTTTGTTATATTTTTCTCTCAGATATTTTTCTTCTTGGTAAAATTCCTTCCCAGAAGTTGCTTCCTAGAAAACTCAATAGCCTCTCTTGTCTGTAGACAGGGACTAGGTAATAAAATCTTCAAAGGTTGTCAAGCAGTATTCATTTATCTTGCCACATGTTTCTGTTTCTATAGTAATTTAGAAAAAATAGTTAACTTTCCGTCATGTAAAAAATGTTAACATTATCCTATTTCCATAGATAGCATGGACTATAGTGTTGCCTGAGTTGTCAGGCTTTAATTCTGAGTCATGTGGCTGCCTGTTCGTCTTTGATGTCAATTGCAATTATTTGGCATCAAAAAGCTTCATGGTAGGTAGAGTTTTAGGTAAAAGTGGATCTAAGGATACTTTCTTTATTAACATTTCCTAAATAACTGAATCGAGGGATGTATTCTGCTACTATGTCCTCAGGTTAATTTTTGTCCGATCTTACGATGCCCTGCCTTTTACTAGCTAGTTTTGAAATAGAAAATGTGAAAAGTGACTATTTACGCATATACTCCTTTGGCTACTAGAACTCATCTATAGTCCTCTATTATTTACACTGAATTCCAATTTCATTTCTACTTCTGCTAAGTAAGAGCACCTCAATACTGTGTTTTCTGTACTGTTGAGTCGTAGGAGAACTGTTTCTCTCTTATAATTATAAAAGAAACTAAGATATTCAGGGAAACTACCCCAATGTTATATTGTCATTTAATGGGAAAGGCTGGGATCATATGTATTTCTATGTTCTATAAAGGATTTGACTTAACTGGTTCTCAATAAAATTTTATTAGGACTGTATGTCATCATGTGTTTTTTGTTTGCTTTGGTTTAAACTTGAGAAATACTTCCCTCAATGGCAAGTGATTTTTTTTTCCCCTCTGTACACCCATTTCCTAGGCATTGTTCCTTTTTCTTCATTGTTGGATCGAAAAAGATTTGTACTACTGTCTGAAAATAGAGATGTATAAGAGGAAAATATTTTTAAATCTGACCATTTTAGAGTTAGGAGGAATCTACTAGGCTTCAAGAACAACAGTGTATTAACTATCCCATAAGAATCTACTCTGGGGTAAATAACTAAAGGCCTAATGTTAGAAATTGATTTTCCTGCTGACTAATTCTGAACGAAACTTTGAATAAAAGAGGGAGGATTAAATGAGGCATGATTATAAAATATATATGCAGAGGTTGGAAAAAATTTGTGAGTCACTTGGGATGACTTTGTACTACTAATTTTTATGACACAACTAATTAGTGTGACTTAGCACAACAGACATTTGACAAATTATAAAATACTTGTTTTCATCTCTAAATTACAATTTGTGTGCTAGTACATATGATTAAAATGCCCCTCATACCAGAAATAGGAACACTTTTCCACTGTTGATGGGAGTGTAAGTTAGTTCAACCATTGTGGAAGACAGTGTGGCAATTCCTCAAGGATCTAGAACTAGAAATACCATTTGACCCAGCAATCCCATTGCTGTGTATATACCCAAAGGATTATGAATGCACACATATGTTTATTGCAGCACTGTTCACAATAGCAAAGACTTGGAACCAACCCAAATGCCCATCAATGATAGACTGGATAAAGAAAATGTGGCACACATACACCACGGAGTACTATGCAGCCATAAAAAATGATGAGTTCATGTTCTTTGCAGGGACATGGATAAAGCTGGAAACCATTCTCAGCAAACTGACACAAGAACAGAAAACCAAACACCGCATGTTCTCATAAGTGGGTATTGAACAATGAGAACACATGGATACAAGGAAGGGAACATTACACACCAGGGCTTGTCAGGGGGTGGGGGTATAGGGGAGGGATAGCATTAGGAGAAATACCTAATGTAGATGATGGGGTGATGGATGCAGCAAACCACCATGGCACATGTATACCTATGTAACAAACCTGCACATTCTGCACATGTACCCCAGAACTTGAAGTATAGTAGTCCCTCATATCTAAAGTCTATATATTGAATGATTGATAATACTGAGGATAAATGCAGAGTTACATATATTTCTCTCATCTGAATGAAGTAAAGATATGTGTGGTAATATCAAGACTTTAGATGTAAGCAGTGAGGCATTGAGAGGACACTGCCTTGAAAAGAGATTGCAAAATGATGCTTAGAGAGGTCCTGCTAACTTTACAAGGTTAGTTTCCATTGGCAAGGCCAGCTAGCACTTTGTCTAGTTTATTGCTCGCTGGCTTATTTTCCCATTACAAGAAAAATAAAATAATGACAGGCACAATAACTTGCACCACAGTTGTAATCTCATGAACAAAGAAATCAAGATACTTGTTTTTTGTGACTTACCCATAGTGTATATTTTCCTCATTCTGCATTGGAAAAGATCTCAGCCTTTCTCCTCCTCCTCCTACTTTCTAAATAGAAGAGAATAATCATTTTTATTTCATTCTTTTTTATCCAAGATAGTTCCCACTGTGGATTCAAAGTCATTAAAATTCTCATGGCTTCTCTTTTCTTTTAAGCATCGTTTAAACTGAAAATATCCTACAAGTCAGTCCCTGAAAATTTGCTTTCTCATGGTTTCTCATCCAAACTTGCTCTCTTCCTTCTAAAACTGTGGATCAATTAAAAGAAGACAATGCTGGCGCTTTTTTTTTTATTATTATTGAGCAATGGCAAATATATTGGCTTTATTGGTCCCATGATGTAAATGGTCCAAGCACTATTTTCCAGAAGCCCTGTGCTGGTACATCCTCAGGGACTTATTTGGCAATTTTGTGAGTAATGGGAGAAGGCAGCAAACACAATAAGCCAAGAGCTGAAATAATGAGGATTGAGAAATGGATCTTAGCAGGGCTGCTGCTCATAGTCAACCAGTGTAATTTCACTGTTCTACATTATGTTAACTTTTCATCCACATGAAATTACAACATGGTAACATTAAGTCTGAAACTAATGTTCTAATACTCAACAAATAAGTGTTAGAGAAAGCATTTGTGAGACACTTAGTCATTATGGAGAGAAAGGAAAGGTGTTATAAATCAGTTTATAAAATAGTGTCCCAATTGCCTAATTTCTCTTTGATGGAGCTGGGATATTAAGAAAGGCATTTATAAACCAAAAAATACTGATGTGGCTCACTCTGAAAGATGATATTGATTGTTTTCTCAGGATTCAGCATTCAGAAATGAACATGTCCCCTCTTGCTGATATAATCCAAACTGCTGGCACTTTCAAGTTTATATGATGCAGACTTGCCATTGTATTAATGACCATGACCAATGCCTTAAAATCATTTATCCCCAAAATTCATTAAACATGCTATGTTTATGTTCAGGGTACTGGCTAGGAGATCTGTTTGCACAAGATAGACACCGCTACTCTAGCAACTCAGTCTGGTGAAGACAGGTGACTAGATAAGCAATTGCAAGGAAATGTATTCTAATAATCCTACCACCACTTCAACTACTCTTCCTATTACTCCATAAACTTTATGTATATTGAGTCTCTCATACGGCCTGCAGTTTCTATGTCTGGACATGTTAGAGTTTAAGAAGACAATTTAAAAGCCAGTCGGCCAGCCCAGAAGCACTCAAAGTTCTTTCCTTTGGACCACCTTAATGATGGGCAAGGTGGAGGGAAATTTGAAGACAAAAAGTCACTTGCCCCAACATTATTTCCACTCAGTTGACCATCTCAAAAATTCTCAGTATTGCTATTATTAATAATTTAGGCTAAATTCATTTTTCTTCAGGAATACTTCATCAAGATGCAAATATTTTAAAATATTTTAGAAGAAATAGTTCTTAATCCTGCTATGTCAAGCAGCTTACTAATTGGTTCATGACCTAAATAGCAATTAACTTGAACTCAACAATATTGTGTTGCTAGAACATGCTAGTAACAGTATCTAGTTAAGATTAAAAAGATAAAATATCTGCTCAAAAAGACAGTTTAGATTTGATGATGAGTTTAAACAAATAATGTCAGCGTGCTGTGGAACTACACCAGCACTAGCATGTCATGAGTAGCAAGTGTATATACTAGACATGTCATTTTTCTTTGCCATCATGTGCCATTCACTATGATTCATCTGTAAGAATTTCATAAAGTGATGGGAGTCTATAGTGCCTCAGAAGTCATTTATCCAGGGATACTTCAGTGCTTAAGAACAAAGCTGACCCAGGAAGTATATGAGAGTTAATGAAACTTGTTGAAGAAACTTTGACATCAGGGCTTCTCAACCATCAATGTGCAAATTACCTGGGGTTCTTTTTAAGCAATTTCTAAAATGCAGGCCAGGAGGTGCCTGAGATTCTGCATTTCTAAACAAATTATCAGATAATTCCCATGCTGGCCACAGAGCCTACTTTGAGTACCATGGAATTAAATTATCCATCATGAATTTCAACTAAATAAGAAGTCAGGAATTGGCTTATGAGTTAGAAGAAATTAATTGTGAAATCAAAGTAATATGCAGTAGCAGCAGGAGCATGAAAGAGCTGGAAAGATTGGGGTCTGATTTCTGATATGACACAAATTCTTAGAATGTCAAGGCAAAGGGTATGGTCTTGAGGTGGCCAGTATTCTATACTGGTGAGTTCAGCAAGTAAAAGAAAATTAATTTAAATAGATTTGTGTGTATAATTTAAATCTGACGGTTTTTCAATTCAAAGAGTCACATGTCTCTGGTACTTATAGAATGATAGGAAAAAATATCTATAATTCATTTGAGTCATCTAGAATCATCCAGGCTCATATGGGAAAATTTAGGTCCTTCTTCTTCTCATTTAGAATTTATAAGGAGTCAAGATTAGCCAACCAACTCTTTACAGATATTAAACACAAAAGCAGATCAATTACAGTCTTTAAAAAAAAAAATCACCATGACTCATATATAAGAATTTCATAAAATGATGAGGGTCTACACTGCCTTAAGAGGTCATTTATCCAGGAACACTTCAGTGCTTAAGAAAAAAGCTGACCCAGGAAGTTTGGAAACTTAATTATAAGTAGGAAAAACCCATTATTCCTTAACTCCTAAATTGAAGCCTGATCCAATGAGCGTGATTATCAATAACCCCATATTCCTATTCACATAAGCATATTCCCTGGGTGTTTTATTTCTAGAATTGATCCAAGTTTGGATCATTCACATAACCAATGGATTTTCTATGACTTATAATAGTGAGTGCCCAACATGTGTTACCTGATCTCTTACAAGTTCTTACCTACCCAGTTAAAAATTGAGTTGCTACGAAGTGACATTAGCAAGGTGGCAGAATAGGAAGTTCCAGCCCTTGTTTCTCCACAGAAACACTGATATAACAATATATAAACCAAAATACCTTTAGGAGAATTCCAGAATCCAGGTAAGAAGTTGAAGTACCCTGGCAGGAACAAAGCTAGATTATCCAACTGAGATAGGTAAGAAAATCAATTTCATTTTACCCGTATCAGCACAGCTCAGCATCAGGAGAGAACAGCCTAGCTTGTGTGTGGAAAAAGAAGAGTGGTGCATGAGTCCAGCCTTCAGGGTTTTGGGAAGACTAACCTGGTGACTGGTTTCTGTCTTAACCCACGTATCATTTGGATGCTTGGGGTGGGACAGGAGTAAGATCACTGAGAACAAAAACAAGTGGAGGGAGGCTTGCTGCAGCCAGAAAGACTTGGTGTGATTGAGAGAAGGTATGCAAGTTGAGGGTTCGGAAAATAGTGGAGATAAACAAATTGAGGGAGGGAAAATAGTAGAGCATGCATCCAATATTCTGGCTCTGTGGAGGGCTCCCCAAAGGGAATGATTTCTGCCTCTCT